TGAAAGTAGGATCGAAGAGAAAGATGAAAAGTTCAGTGGACTAATGATACAGAGAAATCGAGAAGATGCACAAACGCCACTGTTTACGACACCCAGCCATTTCACTCAGTGTCTCGAACCATCGGGTACGACCATCCCGAGGTTCCCAGTCAGAGAGCCTAACAGGACCTATGTGACCCAGTCTCCTGGTTAGGGTTTTCATACCTTCGTGCCAGGTCTTAGGTTGACCACCCTTGACTTTCTTCCACCCACTACCTGCCTCGGCGAACATCGCTCGCTGTGGTAACCTATTTGGTGACATGCGTAACAGATGCCCCAACCAACGTAATCTATGGAGGTCGACCACTTGCTCCAGTGGGCGACTGCGGATACTCAAAACTCTGCGCCTAACCTCAGAATTGCTCATCCGGCTACCCCACCAGATTCGTGCAATACTGCGTAGACAGCGATGTTCAACCACCGACAGTCTGCCTTTATCCTGTTTTCTTAATGGACAAGTTTCTGCTCCATACAGCGGAACTGCCGCGGCATACACTCGACCCTTCACAGACAGCCGGATATCGTGACGGCGCCACAGATGTCTCCAGTTGGCAAATGCCAATCCAGCCTTCTGTATGCGAGCTGACACTTCATCCGTGATGCGTCCACCGGGTGAGCCATCAGCGAAGGAATTTGGCATCGCAAAAGGAACACTGACTACATTTGCAGTTCCGGTCGAGCAGCTTGGTGTTCGGGTTGACCATCCATCCATCCAGTTAAGTTATATAAACGGAAACAATTCATCGCTAGTATAGGTGATATTCTGTTGAGAGGACAAATTTGTGCGGAATGAACGCGGTCTAATCGGACTACCTCGCAACAAAATAACTAACGACGCCCGAATAATTGGTCTTTCGACGCCGAACCACCAACACATCGTCCTCGTCCAGCATCTGTTGGCCCAGTGAATAAAGAAACAAACCATCATCCTCATCGTACACAACAAAGTGAACTGAACTTCACTGATCGTTACCGACTTCACAATGCGTACAAGGCAAGGGAGTATGTGCAAGGTGGTCCTATTTCGAGGGAACGGGACACAAAGCCAACCTATATGATTAACGCTCAGAGTACACGACCTAACTGTGAATACACCGTTTTTAAAGAATTCAGGTAGGGAAAGATATGAATACAACGATACAACCGCTGCTGTCTTTCGCAGTCTCCAACCAACCAGTTACGGAGTCTTGTGGAACTCAACCTATAAGGGAAGAGACACTTAGTCTACATAATCGCACTGTGAACTTCTTCGCGTCCACGTCATCTGTTGGCCTCCACGTGAATTCCTCAAAGCTCGGAGCAGCGACTGCAAATAGGATGCGATTCCGTAGGTGACCGTCAGAGTTCTAACTAGTGAGGCCTATTGTGCTGAATTCCGTGTGAGTGTGAGTTTTTTCCCACTACTTTCTTGAACACAAGAAGATTTACACCCAGGTCACTGACGCGCTCACTCCACCCCAACTGGGCATCGGATGTTGAAAACCGATGAACGATGGATATCATCTACTCGGGGGTTCAAACTTTTACAACCGAGGAGCAGAGCCGACCGAAAGGTGGGACAATATACGCCAACTTTCGAACTCATTGAAACGTCAAGTCATCCCCAAAAATGCTTCAGTCCGCGTAAGAATTTCGAGGATTCAAAATGTATGTGATTATTTTGTTTTCCGCGTTATCGTTATTGGTCACGACTCTAGATAAGTACCAAAAGCAATCCACCACAACAATACTTTGAAGCGTTTTGCAGTATTCCATTTACAACAGAATCAAACGACGATGGCGAAGCTGGAAATCTTTGAACATCACTGCTGGTTTTGTGCGCCCTTTTTAGTTCAGTGCAGACCCTGGTGCTACCAGAAATATGCTAGTAAAAAATATTAATAGGTATACATACTTCTGGAGCATTCTTCTTCGAACAAATTAAAGCCTTGCAATCAAATGAACCGAAGGCCCTTTTTAGGTTAAGAAGCACATTGATCATTGGTCATCGAAGAACATAGCTCATCTCGAGGACTTGACGCAAAGTGAATATTTCAACAATACACCCATGACCATGCCACAATCTAGCTCGCTGTCCATGGATGCTTTCCTCCCTTAAGAGCGATAGACCTTCGAAGTATAACGAAGGCTTATACCTAGGTGACGATTAGGATCAGGCTGAGTCCACGGTATTTCGCGCAATTTGTGAGACTCTTTCATGAAAATCGGGACGCACTTTGATTCGCCTTAAGACGGAGTAAGCTCCTACGATCAGGTGCTGTGCAGTAAGTCAGTAATAGACCCACAAGATAATCCTTCTCCTTTGCTTATAAAGAATGGGAGGAAGACCGTCCGGGCCTGTTGCTCCTATTGGAGATCACAGGACACTGCCCATGGAGCATCAGCTCCTGGCAACGAGATAATCTGGTTGCGCCCAAAGGTCTAGCCGTTATTACCTATTGTGAATAGCTTTTCCACTTCTATTGCAGATTGTTTCACTAACTGGAGGCCGGTGACCTTCGGCGTTGCATAACAGTTGGAACATTCTGATTACGCCCTGGTGCAATGACTACCTCCGTTTCAATAGCCATTGTCGCCCACCAGTTTTCACAGTTTTCTGAAACTTCTTGTGGGCTGACGTCGCAGACGCCACCTATCCACTTTGATTCCAACCGGACAGGATTTGTCGTTTTCTTTCATCAGAACAACTAAATAATAAAATGTCTAATACGTCGGACGGGCTCGGACCCTATTATTGATTACAATACCCACCCCGACCTGACCTGCTGAGTGGACTTTGACGTTATCTGATGTGCGGACGAAGTATCTCGATGAAAAACAGTATCCAGAATTTGTGTCTCCAATACGCAACGAACATCGTTCACCAATGCGTCCGTTGTAAGCGAAAGACAATGATTGACCCTCGGCATCAGAGTCCTCACATTGAAGGTCACTAGGATACGAGGTTGATGAAACTTCAGAATTTACAACTGATAGAGTGGTAAACTACTTACAGTGTTATTTGACAACGACCTAGAGTGAACGGCAAACAAATTGCTTGAGGTACTGTAACCGATTCGAAGAAGGAGCGAAGTAACACGGTTGGGTATAGAAAATATGATTGAACAATGGTTAGGATACCTGAGCAGCAGCTCACTTTGCAATCCAATTGTAAGGCGCAGTCGGCAAATAAACGCCAAGATACAATCATCGTCGTCGTTGTCTACTAAAATTCAAAAAGCAAAAATCTGTGTGACTGCGCCTTAAAAACAAGAACGGGAGTCAACAGTTACAGGTCATGTATTGGATTTTGAAAGCACTCTGTGTTGTACAATGAGGGATTGATTCAATTGACTGAAGTTTCTGAGAGCACAGTAATAAATTGTGGGGTTCGTGCAAGTGTTTTTATATGCCAAGTGCATTTGGCTCTTTACTTCAGATTCAGTTTACGTCGAATACCCCGGCCTCCTTCAATTTCAAGCTTTCCTGATTTCTTACTTCGCCTGATAGATTTTGATCGTGCAGAATCCGAACCGGGATTTTGAAGAATCTTTCGTCTCTGTCTACCAATACCGACAGCTTTTAGAAGACGCCGACGTTCCTGTGCGTTTGTCCTTCCCTTCCCGGTCATACTACCTAACCCTGCGCCGAGAGTGATATACGCATAGGGATCAGGTTGACCGGGACGACGCATATCACCTCGTGCCTTGGACGAAGCAAACTCACGGCCAGGAATGTGGACGGGGATAGACTTCGACTTCCGTGTATTTGCACCGGCAGGTTCGTGCGACCAACCAGCAGCAGCAACACCAGAGTTTGCATCTGCTTCATCCTCTTCGTCACTTACCGGAACAGACCAATCTAGAATGGCAAAACATGTTAAAATGAATGGGGACGTATGGCTGGATTTTATTCCTAAATTAAAGACCTAACCAGTAATCTTGGAACATATAGATAAATATATATTAAGACACAACTAAAATCTCAGGTTTTGTGTCGCCTAAGCTTCTCTCTGAAGCACATCACATGAGAAGGACCTTTCTTGATCACATATATTTATGTATACATACATATATATGTAACTGTATTGATGTGAATCTCTGAGAGGAATACAACAGATGGTGGTGAAGTACTGTAAGGATGATCGGCTTTTGTCCCGGACTAGGTAAATACGTTGTACACGCATGAAATGAAAAACGGTCAAAAAGCACATACCCGGCTCTGAAGTAGAGTGCTTGTTACTTTCGTCAATTATAATACGACCATTAACTATGGGGAATGGAGTGCTGGTTTTCGGCCGAGTGCCATGATTTGAGGCTTCCGCTGCACGGAAAGCATCGGTCATTGCCTTGGCGGTTGCAGCATCCGAGGCAATCGCCGTGTGTCGCGCCAATGCCCTCGGATCAGATAGGTCGAGTACATCCCCTGTCTCCGGATTAGCCTCAACCAGCCAAAGATCAGAGGATCTGGCTCCAGTGTTGAATGTCCCGGTACGCCAGCGCTTGGTGTCTGGACGATTGGTTGAAGCTAGACTAGCATTGTCAGCGAATCGCACTTTCCGCTTAGCACCGAGAGGGGCGATCAGTCTGTCTGCGCTGCTACTAGAGTCGCTCAAGTTATCGTCATCGCCATTCTCAGTTCGGCGCTGCGCCCGCTTTCTCGCTCGCTTGCACAAACCACTGGTTTCAGCCACAGACTCCAGTTCCTCGACCAGGGATTTGGGTTTCCTGTCTTTCATGTGACTGTGTTTAGTAGAAGCCTTCGATCGAACAGAGGGCGCACCGCTTACTCGATCTAGGCGACCGTCGTCATCCTCATCACTAGATTGAGCCAACAACTCACCAAACCTGAAAGAGAAATTCGTACGAAAATTAGAAAGAACGTTTTCATATTCAGTGACTAAAAATCATGAATGGGTTTTCCTGAATATATTAATTGCATAGAACGAAAGTTTGAAATCTTATCAGTTTCAGTTTGAAAAAAACATTACCACGCACATTCCTGCGCCGGTTTTGGTTGCCCATTTGGATGAAGCAAAGGAGACAGGAAACTTGAAAATGGAGA